CGGGCATACGGGTTTTATCCATCAAATCTCTTTTTGATACAATGTGAGACTACAACAACAACGATACTGGTGGTGACATACACACCCCATACCAGCACATTCCTTCACACATAGGTGATGGTTCTGGACGAATAGTTGCAGGGAATGCCCGTCGCGCCCGTACCGACCGAACATACATCGACCTTCTTACCCTTTATCTTGATGTTCTCGACCGTGGCATGGTCGCCCTTGTTCTCCGTCAGAATACTCACGCGGCCATTGACGGCAAATACGTTCTTGATGTTGATGTTGACGCCTTTGTTGCCACAATTGCTGCATGAGCGGTAGAGCTTGCCAAAGTCCTGCACGTAGAAGCCCTCAATGAACACAGAGCCGTAGCCGTTGTGCTGCACCACCTTGTCGGCAGCCGAGCGTGCACCACCACCAATCACTCTTGTCACGCTGCTTGCAGAGCCGCCCTTGATGCTCAGTGCATCCTCGCACACGTCATTCCACCACACGTTCTGGACAAGGCAATCACCATGCTCGCAGTGCACCCCCCTCCATTTGATCCGTACCAACTATCACGTTCTTGAGTGTACCGCCGGCCTGGATAACGAACACGGCAGTTTGCCATCCACTCTCCTCCTGTCCACGGCACTTGACGTTTGACCGCTGGAACGTCTTCATCTTTCCATCGAAGACCTCGCCTCTCTTGACCGTGTAGGGCGCTGAGAGGTATTCATTGCCCTGACTAGTGGGCCATGAGCCATCCGGCATAGGAGCTGCCTCGGCTCGCATGGAAGCTCCCGAAGTCACGGCGGCAGTCGTGGCAAACACAAGCGCGGCGAATGAGATGGTATTGACCATGGTTTGCAGTAAAGTATTGCCCAGTTGCAAAGGACGTTCGCGGTCGGTCGGTCGTTTGCTGCGACGAGCGTGGATCGAGTAATGAGTGATGAGTGTGCGGTTGATTTTCGGTGGACGCTGCCAGAGCTTCCGGGTCCAGCTAGAGCATTCATCGAACAGCCAAGCGATGCCAAGAATGTAGAGCCATCACCGCCATGTAGGTCTTTGTCGTCGTGGACGCTTGCAATGACCAGCTGATGACAGACGCGCAACCTACAGCTGATACACGAATATCTCGGAGAGTTCTACAAGGAGTCGATAGGGTCGGCAAGCACATATGACCACACACATCGGTAGCAGCTTGTATAGCATTACCAAATGCTAGCTAATGACACCGTGGATGAATTGACACACATTGTAGTAGCATCGGACTTGGCAGTATTGGCTGTAGCGCATCAATGTCCAAGGTCGTATGCTATGTTTCGGTGTGTCGAACCACGGGCTTGTCCGAAACGATCTGCAAACAGTTAGAACCCCGTGCGCCGTGGAAGAATTTTCATTTGCGAACTGGAGGGACACAAAGCAGGTGTTGTCTACAGTGCACGATCGAGAGGTTGCTCCGAGTGGAAAGGCGCAAGTGCCACCATGTGCACTACGAACACTGCATCTGTTGGTCGTACACCCAATGTAATGAAGATGGTTTTCTCTGTTTTGCCGTGCGTTCGTTGTGTAATCTCATACGCACATCCACAGATCAACTGCACAGTGGAGGTGCTCGTGCTTTCATAACGGACGAAAACCTAGCACACTGTAATAACACACACACTCGCTGTACAGTACGTGTCCTTGCAATGCGGCATATATAGCAGGGTGACCGGAGCTTACAATCTCAACGTGTTTTGCTTCATATGTAGCTCGAGGTCATTGCAGCAGTTCTCAAATAACTTTGAATAAGTTCATTAAGCTTCTTTTCGAATACAGCCGCTCCTACAATTTCTGGCTGTCGACTAGTAGAACAAATTTTATGAAGTGATGAGCTGTAGATTTAAGAAGCATGAAGTCTTCTGTTTTAGTAGTAGCTTTATTTCATTTGGCGGACCCCCCGGACTGGATTTACTCTTTCCGTAGACGAGGAGGCGTTGCGCTTCGTAGTTAGAGCACATGATGCAAGACGGACGAGCGTAGCAGTAAATGTTGGACAGATCCAAACGTTGGTATGAAAGCAATTAAGGTTCTTATCTAAAAGAACGGAGAAGAACAGTTGGACTCCGATGGCAACCAGGAGGGCATTGTAAATAATCCTACGGATGACTTTACGATACCTCAAGCTTTACGCTTCGCGCCCCGAGAATTTTTCTAGAGTGAGGCTTCACAGACGACGGCAGTGGGCACCGAGCCACAAACTGTTCGCTAATAAAATCATATTTTATGGTACCATTACACACATCCCGACGCAGGACGGCTCATAGTACTCATAGATGAATGAATAATGTAAAAAAGCGTGGACGGAAAACACGATCAGCGCACTAACGATTGAGAAAATAGATCAGGTTTAAACCGTTAAAGACGATGTTGAGATAGCACCGTCTACTGCTTTTTATGTTCATAAATATGTTTCGAAGATTTGAAAAGGGCTGGCTGAGAAGAAGCACAGCCTGACGTCATCGGGTGACGTCACAAGAAAGCTGTTAAACCTTCTATGTAACGGGGCACCCTTTCGTTTGGGGTGCCGCGAAATTCACGTACACTAGTACGTGCAGAGGAAGCTAAGCTACTTGGACAACTCGAACAAGTAAGGTAAAAAAGAGAACTGTATCTAATATAGTTAAGCTATCAATACAGCTTTATCTTTATCTAAATATGTTAATCTACCTTGTCGTTTGACGACAACCTGCTCACCACTCAATGCGCGCGTTCTAGCATCGATTGGTTGTAACAATAACTGATACGTCTTTTATTAACCAATCTTTGAGCAGCGCAACAATGTTATCCTACAAGGGGAAAATATTCCTTTAAATATATCCATCTTGGAAATAATTGGTAGGATATTGTCACGCTATACAATATTTCCATTGACACCGTTTGGTGTCAATTTCATGTAACGGGCTACCCCGTTACATCACCCCCCTAACCACCAATCACCTGTTAATTGAATAAAATTGATCGGGACAGGGTGACCTACGTTGGATCACCCTGGGAAAGGGAGCACTTGTGAGTCAAATTCCATTCATTTGCCGATCCAACGCATGGATTTAAAATCCAAGCGAGTTTCTACTGTAGCAGCAAGAAAGGCGGCTGCAAGCATGCGTGCAGCTGGAGAGAATACCTGTCACGCCGCAGCAGCAGGCGTTTCTTCGCCTGTTGTTGTAAATCGTCCACGTGGTGAGTCACCACGTGCGACGGGTACATCCGCTGCAACTGCAGCGGGTACCGCGAATCGTAATACAGATGAGTCTGAGATAAAGCTCATCTCTTCTGGCGAGTCGGATGATGTATCCGACTCGAAGGCGACTCCTCACGCATCCGGATAACTCGGGGCGGACACTGCAAAAGCCTGGCTGACTGACTCTGGTCAGCGCGGCAGTATCATGACCGAGATCTTCGTATCGATTGATTACTCCGATGAGTCTCCGCCTCACGCGAGTACATCCAACGATAGGACGCGTGGAGATGGTGGTGATGGTCCTTTACATCACTACGAGCGAAGTAACTCAAGGGATCGGGGTAACACTGGTGCCAATGCTCATGCTGGCACCAATCAAGAGGCCAGGGACCGAAATGTCCTGCGCCACGCTTTTCAATTGGAGTCTCCGTGGATGCCGCCATCCAGAGAGTTGGACCGATTGGCTGGCACGACTAACGAACGGGATCGAATCCCGTTGTTCGATTGCAGGAAGATTTGCCCACCTTATTACAGCACGGAAACTATCCGCGCTGAGGAAGTGTTATTCACCGATGCGTTCTTCAATCTCGGTGGTACAATGGCAGACGTGTTCGAAACGGCAAAGCCTTGGTGCAGGGATGGAATGCCCTCATCCACAACATCGAGTGTACTGGCCGTGAGGCTTGGCTTGCCAAACAAATGCAGCTCGCATCAGGTTTAAGAAACGCAACCCCGTCAGGGCGCGATAAAGTTGCACCGGCTTTCAAGAGAGGCAGGATTTTCCTGTCTTTCGTGGGTTGATTCGTGTCCAGGTTGCCTGTACAACTCGAAATGTGCCCCTAGGAAGGCCTACCTTCCTATTTATCCCTACTGGAGGGCGCGCATCTATTCCGAGATGGCCGAAGGGATCGACACTTTGCAATCCCTGTACTCGCGTTCGGGGAGGTCGCTTTCCGACAGTCCTTTTTCAAACGCAGCGGGTGGGTCTCGCCGTACTGCTCGACGAGACCAAGGACATCAACAATTAGCTGGGAACGAGGCTCCCAGCTGTCCCACGCCGGTGGATAGCCACGCCAGCAGACGAGGTAACTCGTCCGGACGCCATTAACACCGCGGTAGTTCAAATACGCTCCGCTATGAAGCGTTGACCACCGCTTGAGTCCACCAAAGGATTTGGTGGCGGTAATAACACCTGACCCGGCTCGATGGTCGGATCAAGTTGATGTTCAGGATTTGAACCATCTAACGGAACAGTTGCAAGATGACCTGTCTCATGAACGGACTCGGCGTTATATGCTCCATGATCTTGCATGGGACAGTTACAATCCCCTAACGCACGATTGTTCGAACGATCGTGCCGCTTTTGCTTTCGCGCAACTTAAGAATGAAAATTCGACTCTTTCTCTTCGTGATGATCTGTCTGCTGCTCGTCGAGACATCGCTGAGCTACGTGGACAGGTCGCTTCGCTAGTCGACCAGACTGGCTCGTGGAAACGGGACCACTCGAGGGTGTTCTCGGCTCTCGACAGAGTAGGTGTTCTTCGCATCTCGAAACGGGCTCGTACTGATAGTACGGGCGGAGACGACCAACGTACAACGTAGGATGCGTGCGCATCTTACAGGGCAGTTCAATCGTGTTTGCGTTGCCCATTCGGCGCAACACACGAAACGGACCGATTTACCTGGGCAGTAATTTACTGCTGCCCACGTTTGTCACTGCGTGCTTCGGTAAGTTTACTGTAGATAGTGAAACTAGGTCTACTACATTAAATGAAAGAACATTTGCTTTTCAATGATTGTCTGCGTTTCTCTTCTGTCTGTCTAGTGCATCTGCAAAAGAGTCTTGAACGAAGCGGACAACCGCTTTGCGAGTCAGTAGAAATTCATCTGCTGATTCATCCTTGTCAACAGCAGTGCGCTTCGTGTGCACTGCTGAAAGAACGTTGTCTTCACCAGTGACGGTATCACCGTCTTCACTTTGGCGGTCATTGGCGATGCTGAATTTGCCAGCATCGTCTTCATCTTCACCATCAACGGCGATCGCACCGACATCGGCAATCATCACGTCAACACCATTGTCGACGTGTGATGTGCAAAAATCAGATCGTATTTTGTTCGCGTGAGTTCACCCCCCCCTTAAAATAGAGTCACACTCTTAGAAGGTGGGTAAACGTGGATGGCGTATGCCATTTACGAAGAACGATGTATGCATTGTAGAAGCATGCACCGATTTGTTGATGGCGAATACCACCATCGGCAAAAACTTACTCCAACTCGTAAACAAGTGGACATACCCTCGAAGTATCTCTTCGATGACGCGTTTGTCGCGTTCCGTCTGACCATCTGTTTCTGGATGGTCAGAAGTTGACATCGTTAAACGTGCTCCAATTGAACGGAACACGGATTGCCATAACGCCGCTGTGAAGCGGGAGTCCCTATCGGACAAGACTTTACGGGGTACCCTGTGAAGTCGGAAGATAGTATCGATGATGACACGCGCACAACCCAAGGCTGTAATTGACTCCGGCACAGCAACAAGATGTACCATCTTGCTGAATCGATCAACAAAAACAAGAATACCAGCAATCATGTAAACGTCTTTGGGAAACTCGAAGACGAATTCCATCGATACGGACTGCAACACTATGCCGGATTCGGAAGAGGCTGTAAGGGTGCGCGGGGAAGGGACTATGCTTCACCCGTTGACAAGCTTCGCAAGCACGAATGTTTTTTCGCACAAACTCGTACTGGCGGGGCCATTTGAAGTCACGACTCACCATGGGGTAAGAATTTTCTCTACCGCGATTTCGCTTATTGGGGCATCATGTCACTTGTACATGATGCGCAATCGCAAATTATTATGAGCCGGAACGACGACACGAGGTGTGTCGCCGTTGACTGCTGTATAGTACAGCAGTCCGTCACGGACAGAATACCGTACGGTTGAAGAGCGGTGTTGAGACGACAAGACAGAAGACAAGCTTTTCAAAGCTTGACTTCATGGATTAGATACGTTATCCATCAACCGCAGAAGAGACTCATCTTCTGCGTATGCTTTTCGCATGTCATCGAGCAGATCCGACGACGGAACACTCACTGATAGCGTTGCAACAGTGGAATCACCCCTACTGTTAGGTTGAGCAGTCGGCTCGAAATCGGGCCGACGCGAAAGAGCATCAGCGACGACATTAAGTCGTCCTGGTTTTTACTCGACGGAGAAGTGTACTCCGCGAATATATACAGCCACCTTGCCATTCGTTGCGAGAGGTGTGGACTGTTTCGGCCGTGCGAAACGACGCATGGTCGGTATAAACGATGAAGGGCCTATCTCCTAAGAGATGTCCCTGAAAATTGGTCAGTGCATACTTCATGGCAAGGAGTTCCTTGTCATGAACCGGATAGTTACGCTCATCTGCTTGCAGATGACGCAATTGATAATCGACGACGCGCTCAACGCCGTCTGAGTCGCACTGCATTAACGCGCAGCCGATTGCTAAATTGCTGGCGTCACAGACCACATGAAATGGTCTATCCTGATCTGCAATCGCCAACACAGGCGATTGCACCAAGCTTGTTTTTATGCCTATAATAGAGTGCTGACACTCAGCGCTCCATGACCACCTCCCATTTTTCCTTAATCGACGAGAGATAAGTACAGTCATCTCGGCATAGTTGCGCTAGTTTTTGTGCAAAAACGCTGCCAAGCCAAGGTACTTTCGAAGTCCCTTGACGTCGACTGGCCCAAATTAGTCGATTAGCGCCTTGATCTTTTCCGGATCAGGGAGGACACCGTTTTCGCCCTCGATGCAGCCAAGAAGTGGTATCTCGTTAGCTGCGTACAAACACTGCTTGATGTTCGCGAACAACTCATGCTCCCGCATAAGTGTGAAAACCTCCCGGAGGTGATTTCTATGACACTCCAAGTCCGTCTGTCCATCCTTATCCCGGCTATGGACGAAGACATCGTCAACTTAACTCGGTGCAAAATCGCGCACCGATCGCAACAAATTCGTAACACATCTGTTGAACGTTGCAGGGCGTTACTTAGCCCCTGTGTCATCACTAGCCACTCCAGGAGCATACCACTGGGGATACTCACTGCTGTGTACGGGATTTTCATTCACGCATGAGGATCTGATAGAATCCATCCATCAGATCCATGGACGAAATGATGGTACTTCTTGCCATACCATCTATGATGACGTCCACTCTTAGTATCGGCGTTTGATCCGGTACCGTTGCAGCTTTCAGTTTATTGAACGCGTGCACTATCCGCCACCGACCTGTGGCCTTTCGCACACAAAGATCGGAGAGCTGTGTGGGATGTTGATTCCCTAACATGCCCAGCCGCTAATTGATCGGCAAATAATTTTTCGATCGCTGTTACCTGTTCACGATGCAGTGGCCACTGCTTCATGACACTGTATTTCAAACCAGGTTTTTAATTCAATCTCATGCCGAGTGCCTATGTCTTTGGGCAGCTCGCATGGCACGGATTCCGCAAAACATCCCTGAATTACACCAAATCCTTATACAAAAAAATTTGTCATTAAAAGACTCCTTAGATTGAGACGTTTATCGCTCAATCAGTCTTTTCGTCGAGGACACTCTCGTCCATAAATAAACTACTGAGAACCCGTTCGTTCTCAGCAAACACTTGTGCCGACCGAATATCGGCAACGTACTCGTCCCCTGTGACGAGTACTCAGATCTGCTTGATCTTGTCACTACGCATATCTCGCAAGAACCTTTTAGATTCTAGCGTTGGCAACTTGACCACCTCCAAAGCTGACATTTGAGGTGTAGCCAGATTAAGTGTATAAGCGCCTACACTTGATTCGCAATTGACCAAGATATTTACTGTCTCGGTGATCCAGGGAAAACACATCCGCAGGTGGTTGGGGATCCACACCCTCAACATGACTCTCTCGGGAGTTATTATGCTCAGGAACCCGGAATTTTACTCCGTTACGGGTACTATCACGGTCACGTCCTCTTCGACCGACTCTAATTCAGTCGATCAGGCTTGCTCTACGATCTACTTTTAAATAGTTGATCTCGCTGCAACCTATAGTTCATCCTGAAAAACTCTACTTTATCTTCTCGGATGCATCCTCCTGGGTGTGCATCCGTGTTCCAGTCCACTCGATCTCTTTGAGTGGTGAACCTTCGGCTTAGCCTATGTCTCTACACAGGTGCCGAAAGCTGGTTCCACAGTGTAGTGGCCTTCTACAATATGATCTTGTGCACTCGTACTAGCGACCGTATCACAAGTGAGGCTATCGCACTCACTCGAAGTACATCCACACGCTTGTGGAAGCTCCAAGATGTTCATCAGATGGCCATCCGAAGGACAAACGGTAGGCATCTTCGTGGATCGATGCTGCCAGCTAACTCATGGCCGGTACTTTCTATGCCATGGAAAACCAAGGATGACATCAAATTTGTCATTTAAATCTAATACGATAAAGTCATCATCGTACTGCTTTCCTACTAGCGCGTAGTGGATTTCCACTACACGTTTTTTAACTGTTACGGATGCGCCTGTAGCAAGGCACAACGTCATCCTCGTTGGAGGGTACTCTCGCTCAACATAGTTGAGACTACTATCCCTTAGCGACTGACGTCGAATAAAACTATTCGACGCCCCCACAGTCACCTAGGACGAGAAGTGACATTCGTCTCGTCACTTCGATCTTCGAAGTGATGAGAGACTCCTCATCACTAAGGGCAGTAACACACAGATACTGTGAGTTGAAAGCAATCTTCGTCAAGAGTCCTGCAAATTCTCTTGACGTTGCTGGATCGGCAGGGTGATCCGCATCTACTGACCCTGACCTTTTTTTGACGGTCCGACTTGCTGTCGCTGCTTAGCGACATGGTCTGACCCACGCCTCGGACCCTTCCTTGGCAAACGATGGTCATCAAGTCCTGTCTTTGGACGTGTTGCGGTGCTCGGTTACTACACCCATGATCGTAGTGTCCAATCTTCTATCAGCGATGGCACCTTGCCGTTCGCTTGTGACTCAGAGAGCGAGAGTTCTCGCTCTCGATGTAACAGAGGTCCATTGGTTCGGGACCTCCTGTTTCCTGTCGTCTTGTCGGACGATAGTTTGACGAAATATCCTGAGACTGTCTCAGGCTGAAGTCTTCTTGTTCCGCATATGCTATCTCCTTTCCGAGCGTATGGAAGTCCTCTTGGAACATGTAGGTCTTCACCGGGACATCCACAAGGCCGTAGATGAACGCGTTGATGTGCGTGTGCTCATAAACAGGGTTTTCCGTAACGCTACTTGCAAGGTAGCGTAGGTGTTGTGCGTAAGCGTGCACGTCACGCTTAACTTGCTTTAGCCTCAAGAGTGCAGAGCGTGCTCTGAACTCGGCTAAAGGCGGCTCAAAATTCTCTTTGAGCCGAGACTTCAAGATCTCCAATGACTCAAACACGTTTGGGTCGTGAAGCTTAAGCCCTAAGGCCCAAGGATTTGCTCGTCCTGTCAAATTTGACAGGGCGAACGTGACTTGCATCTCGTCACCCTTGATGTGAAGGGCCCTGATGGCGTCGTCTAACTCGACATGCTATCTCAAAAGGGAATCTTCATCGGGTCCCTTGTACTTTGAGATATCACTCTTCAAGAATTCGGGTTGACGCATGTGCGTCGGCCCGCCCATCGACTGATGAGAGCCTTGCTGTTGTAGCAAGGCTATCTTTTGTCTTTCGACGGCAAGTTCCCCTTGTAGGAACTTGTTGATAGCGGCATGTTGCTGGTCTCTGATTAGAGACTCCAACATACCACTGATGGCGGGTTCGCCTATGAGCACACTTATGCGGTTGAATACCTTCCATAATAATCACTCAGACGGGAGTAGCCTTCACGTGTGACGTGAAAGCTGTCGTCTTCTACGTCCAACATGTTCATGTTGGACGGACTACAAAGTGCTACCAGGTGTAACGGGGCACCCGTTGTTTGGGGTTCCACGAAACGTCACGTTTACTAGTACGTGCAAAGGAAGCTAAGCTACTTGAACGACTCTATCAAGTAAGGTAAAAAAAAATAACTGTATTTAATACAGGTAAGCTATCAACACAACTTTAATCTTTATCTAACTACACTAAACTACTCCGTCGCATGATGACAAACTGCTCATCACTTACTGCGCGCGTCTAGCAACGATTGGTGGCAATCTATGGTTGAGATGTCTTAAATCAACCAATAATGGAGCAGGGAATGAATATTATCCAAATAGGATAATAATCCTTCAATATTATCCATCTAGGATAAAAACGGTAGAATATTGTCATACTAGACAACATTCCAATTGACACCGTTTAATGTCAATTTCATGTAACGGGCTACCCGTTACATTCTAGATGATCTTGAGAACATCGAAGGGTGTTCATTGGTCTAGCGAAATCAGTGAGCGTTTTTAAAGGTTCTTGAGAAGATCGAAGGGTGATCGCTGGTCTAAAAAAATCAGTGCACCTTATAAAAGGTGTTGAGAAGATCGAAGGGTGATCATTGGTCTCGATAAATCGGTGGGACTGGTACAGTTTTTTTTTAGTATATGAAATGAGTGGCTTAGAGGTAGTGAAGCAAGTTTGCGAACAAAGGACCAAGACCTATTCACTTCACAATTTGCCTTCGCCAGCGCTCATCAACACAACAGGTTAACAGCCGCAAATCGCTTCAAAGCCACCAATTTCTCACGTCCATTATGACACGCAAGCGATTTGAAGTCCTTCTGGGTAGTGGAAACTACTTTCGCTGGGAGTGTAACCTGCGCATGACGTTGGAGCGCAATGGGCTGCTGTTGCACGTTCAAGTCACCAAGAAAGAGAAAGAGATGACTGACGCCTGGCTGTCCAACGACGCTAAGGCATTGGGTATAATCGCTCAAGGCATAAAATTTCAACACCAGACCAAAATACGATGGGCAACAACAGATATGCACGCTTGGGACATCTTGCGGGACTTCTACAACCGCATCACGCTCCACAATCGTGTCGAGATGACACGTCGTCTGCATGAGTTCAAGATGAAGAATGCTTCGACCATGTCGAAGCACTTGGATGATTTCGACGAGCTTGGTGTCGGCCCCCAGACACTTGTAGAGCCAGTCGATGACTCTCGGCAGTTAGTGGTGCTGCTTAGCATTCTTCCAATGGACTATGAGCTCATCTCGTCAATTGTGGCGAATTCTAAGTATGTAATGCTCATCGAGTCAAGGAAAAGTTGCTGAAGGTGCATGAACGACTGCAGATAAAGGAGACGATGGAGAAGACGTTTTCTGTAAGCAGCAACGGTAGACGGTTCAAGGGAGGCCAAGGCAACGGCCGCAAGGGAGACAATCTACGGAAAATCAACGCTGGAATTAAAGGCAAGTACTTTAAGTGTGGCCAAGTCGGACACTACAAGCGGGACTGCCTGACGCGTAGCAATGGCGAGGAAGAAGGTGCTGTGTTTGCTGCTGGTGAGTTGCGATGCAAAGAATGGATATCCGACAGTGAGGCTACGTCGCACAGGACACCACATCGGAGCGATTGCTTTGAGTATAAGTAGTGAAAGACTGGTCAACAAGTCTCTTCTGCTGATGGCAAGAAGTTGCCGGTAGCTGGAGTGGGAACAGTTGTGCTGAAAGGTCTGGACGGTCGACGGATAATGATGGTCGAGGTCATGCACATACCAGGACTTGACAAACGATTGTTGTCCGTTGGCAAGCTGGCAGGACGAGGCATGAGGTTTAAGTTCCAAAGCTCATCCTGCGTCATTTGGAGTGCCAAGCGCGCGATTGCAAGCGACAAGAAGATTAGCAAGGCGCGCTTCCTGAATTGCGAACAAGAAGAAGGTCGTCTTATGGAATACGCAGGGGCTGAAATTGAGTGGGAGCTCTGGCACGCTCGCTTGGAAAACCCCGAAAGGTCTGGTGTGACAAGACACAGCGCGCTACGAGTGGTATGCCGGCGGTAAAGCAGGACATCGAGAAGTTGTGCAGTGGGTGCATGTAGGGCGAGCAGACGGTCGATACATTCCCGTCTCAGTCGCTAATAAGGACGTCACGTGTGTTGGAACTAGTACACATGAACGTGATGGGACTGATGAAGACGACCTCAAAGGGTGGTGCACAATTCGCATTGACGTTCATAGACGACTCTTCAAGATATGTGGCAGCGTATTGATGAAGCACAAAAGCGAGGTGGCCGCAAGACTTAGCGAATTTAAGGCATTCTACGTAAATCAATGGGGCAAGCACACGAAATGTATACAGTCGGATAACGGGATGGAGTTTGTCACCCAGAGGATTGCTTATTTATGTGCCCGTAATGGTATCATGCACCAGCGAACAGTGCCATATAGCCCGCAACAGAACGGCGCTGCGGAACGCTTGAATCGAAAGATCATGGAAAGGCAAAGGTCATGCTATACTACAAGGGTGTCGGCATGTAGTGGTGGGCAGAGGCGGTCCGTACGGCTGTGTACTTGATCAACAGATCCACAAACTTTGCGAATTCGGACGTCACGCCGTTCGAAATTGGTTTCAAGATAAAGCCGAGTACTGAGCATTTGCGTGTGTTCGTATAGCAAGGGTATGCTAACATTGGCGACGCCAAGAGGACGAAGCTCAAACCAAATAGTTCCTGGTGTATATTCCTCGTATATGCGGAGAAAGCCACAGAAAACAGGGTGTTTATCTGGAAAGGTCGAAGGCATTCATATCGCGCTCCGTAAAGCTGGACGAGGGGGAAGTTGAAGGCATGTACGACACGGTGGTACCAGAGAAAAAAGCAGTCGTCAAGTATAATAGGGAGACTGACGAAGCAGTGATTCCGGTGGGTCTTCCGCCTGATGGAGACGAGATGATGGAAGATGTCGAAGAAAACGCTCCTGATGTCGAGATGGATGAGATGGAATTGGCTCCATATGAAACAGGTATCATCATACCTCAAGTACTCGATCCAGAAACTCAAGAACCAAGATGCGATGAGATAACGAAATATCAAGCTCCGAGACAAGCATTTCAGGTAGATTGGTTGGTATTTCAGACGGAGATAAATCGGTCAAGACGCTCACGAGACAAAATGCTGCTGCTGGAGAATAAGAATTGCAGTGAAGGCACGTCAGAAGGTAGCGATGAACCACCTTCTCCAAAGCGTGCAAAAATTGATGACAAAGGTCTTATTGCAGCGACTGTATTGGCCTATGATGCATGTGTTGGTGACGCGGAAGATGCTCCATCAACATACAGTCAAGCAATATGAAGCAACGACAACTGCAAGTGGATTCAAGCGATGCAAGCGGAGCTCAAGGCGCACGCCGATAACGGGTCCTGGACACTGGTACCAAAACGGCAAGACATTCGACCAATCGGGTGCAGATGGATATTCGCTAAGAAGCGAAACGAACACGGACAAGTGGTGCGCTACAAAGCTCGACTCGTCGCAAAGGGGTTCAAGCAGAAATTCGGTGTCGACTTCTTCGAGACGTACTCTCCCGTGGCAAACATGAACTTGATCAGGGTTGTGCTAGCTGTGGTGGTGACAAAGGGATACGTCACTGAGCAGCTGGACGTAGACACGGCGTTCTTGAACAGTGATCTCAAGGAAGAGGTGTACATGGAAGTGCCAAATGGCATAGCTAATGCGGAGAAGATGATGTGCAAGTTGGACAAGGCAATCTACGGTCTCAAGCAGGCTGCAAGTGCGTGGAACAAGACAATCCATGCTGTATTCTTACAGATCGGATTTCGTAGCAGCAGAGCAGATTAATGCATCTACGTCAAGAGTCAAGATGACAACTACGTCTATGTGTGTCTCTACGTCGACGACATGATCGTCGCCGCCAAGACCAGCAGGGCGATCCAAGAGGTGAACACAGCACTTAAGAGCTCATTTCGTATGAAGGAGCTAGGCAAGGCTAGATTTATTCTTGGCGTGGAGATTGATCATGACCACAACTGCAGTAAGCTGATGATTCGACAGACTCGATACATCGATGATGTGGCCAGCTGTTTTAATCAAGAGGACGCAAAGGCAGTAGTAAACCCATGTGAGTCCGGTTTGAAGCTGTCAAAGATGCAATCACCAACGACGGATGTCGAAAGAGAAAAAATGCAGTCGAAGCAGTAAAGGTAGCTGATCGGATGTTTTCTATACATCAAGACATTTACGCGCCCAGTTGTGATGTATGTCATCACGCAGTTATCAAAATTTTTGGAGAATCCAGGTCAGCAACATTGGAAGGCAGCCATTCGTGTTCTTCGGTATCTAAAGACAACAAGAGACTACGGGTTAACCTACGAAGGCAGCGCTAGCAAAGTAATAGCTACAGCGTACACGGACGCGGACTGGGGTAGCAACATCAATGATCGACGCTCAGTGTTAGGGATAATGGTGATCATCGGTGGCGCACCAGCCATGTTCAAGTCCAAGTATCAACGCACGGTGGCTCTAAGCTATGCAGAGGCAGAGTACCTAGCTTTAAGCCTGTGTACACAGGAAGTGTTGTGGGTTCGTGCGTTGCTTAAGGTTCTAGGTCACGAGCAAATGGGAGCAACGTGGGTCTGGGAAGACAATTAAGAAGCAATTGGACTTTCCAGCAATGCCGGCTACAATGCCAGAACCGAGCACGTTGACATTCGTCACCGCTTCATCCGGGAGAATGTGGCCAGCGACATTATCGAGGTCAAGTACATCTCCACCATGGATCAGTTAGCCAACATGCTGACGAAGGCTCTGGGGACCAAGCGACTGAAATATTTGATACAAGCAAGCAGCATTGGACCTTAGCGCATTCAGCAATAGCGGTAGATGGGATTGTTAAGATAGCACCGTCTACTGCTTTTTTATGTTCAAGGATATGTTTCGAAGAATCGAGAAGGACTGGCTGAGAAGAAGCATAGCCTGGCGTCATCGGGTGACGTCACAAGGAAAGCTTCTTAAACCTTCTGGATGATCTTGAGAAGATTGAAGGGTGATCATTGGTCTAGATAATCAGTGAACCTTTAAGAAGATCTTGAGAAGATCTAAGGGTTATTATTGGTCTAGATAAATCATTGGGACTGATATAGTTTGTCTATGTATATGAAACGAGTGGCTTAAAGGTAGCGAAGCCAATTTTCGAACTGAATACCATTAATATATTCACTTTACAATTTGCCTTCGCCTGCGCACATCAACTCAACAGGAAGGTGTTGAGCTGCCGATTTCTCTAGTTGATCTTGACTCACACTGAATGTATTCATGAACCCCTTTGATAGAATTATGAGTGCCTCATAAGGTATCGCATTAAGTATGCCGTTGACAAGTATATTGTTCTTATTGATCTCAACCAAGCTGGTAGAACCTCAGCAAGAAAGTAAACATTATTACAGTGTTGGGTTGTTAATTTTAGGGTAGCTGTACTCGTAATTTTATTCGGGCTCGATTTCGTGATGTGAAATTTGCTTGCGGTTGCATCACCAGATTCCTTTTTATACAAACACTGCTCTTTCTCAATTTGAACTGCTGATTTTAAAAAAACAGCAGTCCTTAATTAACTGTGTTGCATTCTCACCGGTCCAGGACGTCTGTCCTGAAGCCAATTTATTTGCACTGTAAATAGAGGTTAAGTCGATCGCTTTCATTTTAACGACCGTCTTTATGATACGCTTCGCACCTGTCTCTTAAACTGTTTTTCTTACCAACGACAAAAACAACATTTTTGGATAGATTACACTAATTTTATTTCTAAGTGGTCGTAGTTTCGCGGTTAGTCCTGATCATGCAATTTACTACAACTTAGACCAGGAGCTTGCTACGCTCCAAGATAGATCCACGCTATGATCGATAACGTATTGCGCGATTATACGCTTCTGGCTTACACGTACGATATGGACGTGACATTTGACTAAAAGAGGGCCGAGCAGATAGCACGCTCGGTTGGACACAACCAACAACAGAACAAAGTGTCTGGGGACGCTTCCTCGGGATCCGTCGAGTTGAGGCTAAGCATCTCTGTTCAGTGCATTTGGTGAGGCATAGCTAAACGACCATCTATAAGATGCTTCAAAGCGAACCTCCACGCTACCACCCACTTCAAAAAATCTATCAGAAAGTGTTAAGGTGTGCGGATATTCTGGTATGTGCAGCTGAAAGAGCCACTACCGTGCTCGATCCAGAATGACAGACAGGGCCGAAAGTGTGGTATTAAATTTCAGTCGTCTCAGTAAATGCGCATGCATGCCGCCCGTCGTCTTAAAGTGGGAATACAATTTAATACGAACAACGACGTTCAGCATGAATAGCTGACCTCTGGCTGCTGACTTCGACAGCATTTCGGTTGCCCAGCCCGCGCACCTCGTCGCTAGATTTGCGCAATGACCAATGCTAAGGTTTACAAGAAAAATCCCTTTTCGGTTGGCAATGTCGTCCTCTAATCTATTTTCTAAGTTATTATAAGGGTCACACTGGAAGCAATTGTTTTAACACAAACAAAGCGGAAACACGTGAAATGGACACAGCAGACGTCGTCGATGCAAAGTGATAAGACCGAACCTCTATAGATTCGACAAACGCTCTCCATAATGCTGAAAGTGCCGAATATTAAAGTGCCGAGGACGCCGAAAATAATCCATCAAATTAGTGAACCTGAGTTTATTCTGTTATTTGTATAGTGCAAATGGGTTTAGCGAAGTGGAACACGCCAACAAGTCAATTTGCAAGGATGTTGGTTTCGGTCAGCAAGGCTTTAGCGGAATCGAAAGCTCACGGCTCGCCGTTTCAAGTATAACATGAAGTCGATTACGGCCTTTGTAACGGGGCACCCTGAAGATTGTACTGGTGACAGTACAATCTACTTATTCTGATGACAGAATAAGGCGGTGCCTCGTAACTTCACGTACACTCGTACGTGCAGAGGAAGACGGTAAGAAGAAGCGAGTACTTGGTTAAAGTAAAAAGTAGAACTGTATTCAGTATAGTTAATGTCTGCAATAAATCACTATTTATCTTCATCTAACTATGTCTAAATACAAATGTGTAAATCAACCATCTGCTCACCACTCATTGCGTGCGTCTGTCGTGGCGCGTCTTCGTTGGTTGATATAATGGCCTATATCAACCAATTAGGAACTACTCGTAAGTGCTACAGAATATTGTCCTTATGACAATATTCTGAGAATATAACTCTTATAGTTATATTCTATTAACAATTTCTTATAAATTGTTATGTAACGATTCACCCCGTTACATCACCCCCCTTAACCATCAGTCACTTTAGTGACTGATCGACTAAATGGATACTCGTCCCAATCATTTGGGATAGGGTTTTCACTTGTTGGTCCGAGTCCACTTTCCAACATTTCATCGCATGGTTAACAGGCCCATGCGATGCGCGAGCAAGGCCCCCGAGAGCGCGTCCGCACGCCTCTGTGCGGACGCCGAAGCAGAAACTACAGCAACTGATGTCTCATCGGTTGCTGAAGCGACCCAGCCTGTGTCACTTGGTGATGCAGGCGCTGGTCATGAAGACACTCATGTCTTCACAGAGTATGAGCTCGGAGTCTCTTACTCTCCTGATACGGAAGACGGATCCGTATCGACGGCGATCGAATCCAAGACGCCTGAAAGCGTGGCATGGATGATGCTATGCGTCGTAGAATCTTTGGTTCATCTGACGAATCCGATGAACCATCGCCGAAGCGAAGGCGCTCGAGATCGCGAGACTCGGGCGCTAACAGTGGTGTCGGTTCTCCTATGGACACCACTTCGCAACGAGGTGCCAGTACTTCTGTCGGCACATCGCAGGAAGAGCGGGACCGCAATGTGTTGCGTCTCGCTCCAGAAAAGAAGGCATGGATGCCTCCTAAATCTGTCATGGATCACTTGTCGGCGACGACGAGTGATCGTTATCGAACACGATTGTTCGATTCGTCGAGGATTCATCACCTTGACCCCAGCGCGAAAAACTATCGCGCTGAGAATGAATTCTTCATCGATGCTTTCTTCAGACATAGTTGGTACAGTGGGAATCACAAGCGTGATGGTCCCTCACTGCTTCAGGCGTGGAACGCCTACATCCATAACCTTGAGGATGTAGGTCGTGACGCTTGGAACGAAAAACTTATCAGAGCTCGTGATAAGTTTGAAAAGCGGACCCCGATAGGTGCACGCTACAAGCTGCATCGTCTGTCTAGGAATAAGAGATTACCCTACCTCTCATGGGGAGACTCGTGCCCATGTTGTGTGAACAACTCTGCACGAGCACCTAAAGAGGCTTACCTCCTTACCAGCCCGTGGTGGCGCGTACGTATCTCTACTGAGATGTACGAAGGGATTGACAACCTGAAATCCCTTTACGACCGTGCCGGGAAGGCTTTCTCCGGCGGTCCTTCTGCGGCACAGGATGTGCCACGTTGTACTGCTCGACCAGACCCAGTACGTCGATCATCAGCTGGGAGCGGGGCTCCCAAGTATCCCATGACGGGGGATAGCCGCGCCACCGGACGAGATAACTCGTTCGACGTCCGTTCACGTCGCGGTGGTTCAACAGCTGCTCGACTAGATAGCGCTGGCCACCGCGAGAGTCCTCTAATGGAGGTGGTGGAGGAGGAAAGACGCTCTTCAAATGGCGAACGCTGTCTCGAAGCATCGAGATGAGTTTGCCTTTGCTCAGCTTGAGAATGAGAGAGCTCTGACATCTCTTCGTGACGAGATAAGGGTAGCTCGTGGGATTGTTGATCGGTCTCGGGATGAGATAGCTGCTCTTCAGACCCTTGTTGATACCCACCATCGGGAGCACAAGGCTCTCTGCGAGATGCTTGAGCGCAAGGGCGATCTTCATCGGAAGAAGCAGCGTACTGATGGTGCGGCTTAAGCCGACCAACGTAAAACGTGGGATGCGTTCGCATCTTACGTGGTAACTCGATCGTGTATGCATTGCCTAGGCGGTGCAATACACGAAATGGGCCAATGTACTTGGGTAGTAGTTTACTGCTACCCAAGTTAGTCACTACATGCTTTGGTAGGTTAACCGTAGACAGTAGGACTAAGTCACCTTTATTAAATAGAAGAGTGTTTTCCCTTCCTTTCTTGTCAGCGTTTTGCTTTTGCTTATCCACCGCTTCGGCGATGGAATCTTGCACAAAACGGACTACCGTTTCACGAGCCAGTATGAACTCATCTGATGACTCGTTATCTTCAGTGCGCTGTGAGTGCACTGCAGCAACATCAACCTTTTCTTCAGTGAGGGCTTCCGCACTCTCACTGGCATCATCTTCTTCGATGTCGATGTTATCGATATCGGTATCAAACGCAATGACTTCTTCGTCAGAGCGTGATGAGCGTGAACCAAATCGGTTTTTGCTCGCGCGAGTCCCTCCCCCCCCTTAAACCAGAATTACACTCTAGTAAGGTGGGTACACGTGGATGGCGTAAGCCATTCACGTAAAACGGTGTATGTGTTGTGGACGCATGCACCGAGTTGTTAATGGCAAACTCTACCATTGGCAAAAACTCACTTCAACTCTTAAAGGAGTGTACGTATCCTCGAAGTATCTCTTCAAGGACACGATTGGCACGTTCGGTCTGACCATCTGACTCTGGATGATCAGATGTCGACATCTTCAAGCGCGTTCCGAGTGATTTGAACACGGAACGCCAGAAATCAGCAGTGAATCGTGGATCTCTGTCTGATACGAGTTCAAGGGGCAACCCATGAAGTCGGAAGATGGTGTCAATAAAGACACAAGCACAGCCACTTGCCGTGATTGTCTCGGGTACAGCCACAAGATGTACCGTTTTGCTGAATCTGTCAACAAATACGAGAATATCCGTATTTCCGCGTGCGTCTTTGGGTAACCCGAAGACAAAATCCATTGAGATAGATTCCCAGCACTCAGCCGGAACCGGTAGAGGCTGTAAAGGTGCACGCAGTGAAGGACTTGACTTCACTCGTTGGCAGACTTCGCATGCGCGAACATACTTTCGCACAAACTGATACTGGCGGGGCCAGTAAAAGTCTCGACTTACCGTGAGATATGTTTTCTCTCGGCCACGATGTCCTCCTATAGGAGCATCGTGATACTCGAACATGATCCGCAAACGCAGATCAGTATCATCTGGAATGACAACACGTGGTGTGTCACCAGAAACGGCTGTATAATACAGTAAAGCGTTGCGAGTAGTGCATCGATCTGATGCAGATCGATACGCAGGCGACAATCGTTTCAACGATTCTCGAGATGGCTGTGAGAGATGTGTCAACAACTTCACAATCTCACCATCTTGGGCGTATGCCCGCCTCACATCATCATACAACGTTGAAGATGGCACTGAGGACGTCAGAACCGCAACAGTGACTGTCTCACTGTTGGGTTTCGCGACTGTTTCAAAGTCGGGACGACGTGAGAGTGCATCAGCGACGACATTAAGTCGTCCTGGTTTGTACTCGACCGTAAAGTTGTATTCTGCAAAGAATGACAACCACCGCGCCATTCGTTGTGAAAGGTGCGGGCTGTTCACTGCCGTGCGTAATGACGCATGGTCAGTGTAAACAATGAAGGGTCTATCTCCTAATAGATAGACTCTGAACTTCGCGAGTGCATACTTCATGGCAAGGAGTTCCTTGTCATGCACTGGATAGTTCCGCTCAGCTGGTTGCAGCTGACGCGACTGATAGCAGACGACGCGTTCAACGCCTTCAAGGTCGTACTGCATTAATGCACAGCCGATTGCGAAATCGCTGGCATCACAGACCACATGAAATGGCCTGTCCTGATCGGCAATTGCTAGGACTGGGGATTGTATCAAGCTCTTCTTGATACCCTCAAAGGAGCGCTGACATTCAGCGTTCCATAACCACCTCTCGTTCTTTTTCAACAAACGAGAGAGGTGCACAGTCATCTCGGCGTAATTGCGTGAATACTTATGCAAATACGCCGCTAGCCCAAGGAATTTTCGAAGACCTTTGACATCGAACGGCACAGGCCAGTCGGTGATCGCCTTGATCTTTTCGGGATCAGGACGTACACCGTTCTTACCAACGATGCACCCAAGAAGTGGTATTTCGCTTGCTGCAAATATACACTTCTTGAGGTTAGCATACAATTGATGCTTTCGCATGATTGTAAGAACCTGTCGGACGTGGTATCTGTGAACCTCAACGTCCGACTTTCCATCCATAGCTCGACTATGGATGAATACGTCATCGAAATAACTCGGCGCGAATTCTCGTACTGGTCTCAACAGATGTGATACACATCTGTTGAACGTGGCAGGGGCATTACTGAGCCCTTGTGGCATTACTAGCCATTCCCAGAGCATGCCGCTAGGCGTGCTAACTGCGGTATAGGGTATATCCCGTTCTCGCATAAGGATTTGATAGAAGCCATCCATCAAATCCATGGACGAAAAGATGGTACTCTTTGACATACCATCAATGATTACGTCCTTCCTCGGTATCGGCGTCTGAGCCGGTACCGTTGCAGTGTTTAATTTGTTGAACGCGTGCACTATCCGCCACCCTCCTGTTGCTTTTCGCACACAGAAGGTCGAAGAGCTATGTGGGGAAGTTGATTCCCTCACATGGCCCGCAGCTAAACGATCGGCAAAGAACTTGTCGATCGCAAGTACTTGTTCACGAGGCAGTGGCCACTGCTTCATGACACAGTACTTCGAGCCTGGTTTAAGCTCGACCTCGTGTCGAACACCTTTATCCTTCGGTAATTCGCACGGAACAGTTTCAGGGAATACATCCTTGAATTCAACCAAATCTTCATAGAGAGGATTTGTCTTGAGCGATTCCCACGATTGGGAGTCATGTCGCTCAATTCGTGTCTTTTCATCTAGGACACTCTCGTCCATAGATGAACTACTGAGAACTCTCTCGTTCTCAATGAGCATTGTTGCTGACCTTATGTCGGTTACATACTCGTCTTCAGCGACGAGTACGCAGATCTGCTTGACTTTGCCACTACGCAGATCACGCAAGAACCTTTTATGTTCGAGCGTTGGCAACTGAGTGATCTCCGAAGTCAACTTCGGAGGCGCAATCAGATCAAGTGTATAAGCGCCTACACTTGATCCGTTATTGACTATGACATTCAATGTCTCTGTCATTTCCTGGGGACTTATTCCCTCAGGCCTCGAAGGACTTATTCCTTCGGCTTCCCGAGGAATTATTCCCGCGGGTTTCGGGGAACTTATTTCCGCCGTATCTGTAATATCGGGACTTATTCCATTTACTTCCTCTAGCTGGGGTTGCGCAACCACAGCGAGATCCTCTACGAAAGACTCTCCAGTCGATCTAGGATTATCGTTTCGCTTAACCTGAGCGATCGATTGTTTCTCTTCTAGATGTTCCCCGCTAGGGATACATCTTTGTCCCGGTCCACTCGACTCATTCGAGTGGTGGACCTTCGGCGCAGCCTGTTTTTCCTCACAGCCGCCGGAACTTTGCTCCGAAGTGTAACCGATTGGACACTAAGGTTTTGTGCAGTCGTACTAACGACCGTACCACAAGTGAGGCCATCGCACTCACTCGTAGTACATCCACACGCTTGTGGACGCTCCAAAATGTTCATCAGATGGCCATCTGATGAACAAGCGGCAGGCTTCGTTACTGTTTGATGTTGCCAGTATACTCGTGGTTAGTACCTTCTGATCCACGGTATTCCAAGGATGACATCGAATTTATCATCCAAATCCAATACGATAAAGTCATCGTCATATTGGGTACCTTCTAGCGTATAGTGAATCTTCACTATACTTTTCATGACGGTTACGGATGCGCCTGTCGCAAGACGAACCGTCATCCTCGTAGGAGGTGTGTCACATTTAATGAGCTGAAAATGACCATCTTCTAGCGATTGGCGTCGCACAAAATTTTTGGACTCCCCACAATCGACTAGAGCTCGAAGGGACAACTTATTCGTCCCTTCGAGTTTCAAGGTAATGAGTGAGATCTCATTACCTAGAGCAGCAACGCACAATGATTGTGCGTTGGGAGCAACCTTCATCAAGAGGCCTGCAAATTCTTTTGACGTTGCTGGACCAGTAGGGTGCTCCGCACCTACTGATCCTGTCCGGTTTTTGACGGTCCATCCCGTTGTTGCGTCTTTGCACCAACAGCGGACCCGCGTCCCTGACCCTTTCTCATGGGTAAACGGTCATTACGCCTAGTGTTGCGAGACACTGGACGAGGGGCACTACACTCGTAAGCGTAGTGTCCTGTCTTTTGACATCTATGGCATTTCTGCAGCTTTTTGTAGCCTGTAGAGCGAGCCTTCTCGCTCTCTACATAACAGAGTTCCATCGGATCTGTACCTCCGCTGTCATATCGCCTCGGTTGACGATATGATGTCGAGCTGGCGCGAGCCTGTCTCAGACTGAAGTCTTCCTGTTCCGCAATGGAAATGGCTTGTTCTAGTGAATCTAGTTCAAGCCGGAACAGGTGAGTCTTGACGGGACCATCCGCAAGACCCTGCATGAACACCGAAACCAACGTGTGTTCATCCACCGGATTGGAACTTATACAACTCGTGAGATGTCGTATATGTTGAGCGTAAGCGTGCACATCACGCTTACCTTGTTTGAGCTTCAAGAGTTCAATTCGAGCTCTGAACTCAGCTCTAGGCGGTTCAACCGTTTGTCTGAGCCGCGACTTGAAGACTTCCAACGACCCAAACGCATATGGGTCGTGCAACTTGAGCCCCAGTGCCCAAGTCTTGGCACGTCCTGCCAGATTTGATTGGGCAAATGCAACTTGCATATCCCCGTCGTCGATGCGACGCGCCCTTATGGCGTCATCCAATTCGACGAACCATCTCAAGAGGGAGTCCCCTT